AAGCCTAAGAAACGTTAAAGAATGTTACTCACACATGCTAGTGCCCGTCATAACACGGTAGCCACCAAGGGCAACGGGAAAGGTAGACAGGATGTTGGCTCCAGGAGCGGCGAATTGCGGGCTGGCTTCCAACTCCCAAGTTGGGCCCCAGCTTGAGAAAGACCCCATGTAAGATCCGCTGGAGTTGTTCTCAAGTTCCTCAAGACGAGTCCTGGTATTGTTTGCGCTAGGGATAGAGATAGTGACGCTGCGACCCTGCTCCAACAGAGAGAGCCACTGGTCAGACTGATAAGGTGGGATGGAAGCTACACCTTGGATCCCCTGAGAGTAGACATATTGTTCGTCTCGCATAGTCCTTGTAGGCAATGTTAGACGTCATGAAACATTGAAACCGATAAGGGGAGGACTCACGTGTTGTCATTAGTGTAGAAAAGAATATAGCGTCCACCTTTGGCGACGATCTTGTTACCCTGGTCAATGGGGTAGCATCCCGTAGCGCGAGAATCGGGGAACAGAAGCAGGACAATCTTGTTGTTGAGGTCGGGAGTGTCATCAGGCAGTTCACTGCAGGCATTGTTCTCGCCGGGGCTCCAGAGTTGAAGCGAGAGGTCTCCCACGAGCTCCGGAACACCAGGCAAGTAGGCAAAGTCAGATTTGGCACCCGATGTTGAGTTAGAGTCCACGGAGAAAGTGCCTTCGTTGAGTATAGTAGGGAACTTGGAGTTCGTCACGGCACCACTTCCCGCGACACCGCGGCCAGTAGCCGGAGTTGAAGCGTAGAACAGGCCGCTGCCGCCATCGTTACCTTCGGAGATGACGACTGGAACACCGGCGTCGACGATGCGGGCAGCAAGGACACCCCAAGCATCCTCCGCCCAGCCAGAAGGACTATCAAAGAGATTAGCAAAGCATGAACCAAAGCATGAACGCTTCGCCTAAAGTAAATAAGGTGCACGAACTCTCCGTCAGAACAAGAGATGATATCAGCCCCCTCCTCAAAGGCGCGGCTAAACGCGGCAAGCAACACTTCGTTCGTCGATGTGGAGGCGCATCCCCACGCTCGGTATGCTGCCAGCTTGACGCCAGGAGCGGCACCCGTGAAGCCATACTCGTTGCCTTCGAGCTGAGCAGCAATGATACCAGCAACATGAGTACCGTGTCCGGCGCAGTTGTCCATTGGATCCGCATCGGGCTGAAGTGGTCTCACGTTGGGCAGAAAGTCGTCTCCTGTGAAATCCCAGCCGGCCTCCACCAGACACCCGGGGCCGAAGCATCCGCCAAGGGCAGGGTGGGTGTAGTCCACGCCACTGTCGATGATGGCGATGCGAACTCCCTTGCCGGTGATACCCTGCTCACGCAGCTTGTCGACTTGAGTCATGACGTGAGGCGAGAAGGTGTCCTTGGTTGAGTTTCCGAATGCCGCTTCCTGACGCCTAGCCTTGGCCTTGGTGATCGCACCGCTGGCTGGCGCGCCGTGGTCCTCGGGCTTTGCAAGCTGGATCGTACGGACAGGCCAGAGACTTCTGATGCGCGATGAAGATTCGATCTTGCGCCGGAGGAGTGCGCTATCATGGTGGGCCCCGCCAACATTCTTGACCTGAAAAGAAACGCCTTTGAATAAACGGTTGCTTAGGTCCATGCGAGATTCGACGTCGAGGCCATCCGCTTTGAGGGAGTTGAAGAAGGTCTCGGGTGTATCATTATCGTCTGCGAACTCGACAATGTAGGCGCCAGGAATAAGCTCGCTCGGGTTGACGTTGTTGTTCTCACTCGTTTCGGCTCTCGGGAGCTTTGCTGGCGGAGGCTTTGTATAGATGCGCGGATGAAGCGGGTTGGCGACGGCAAGATTCGAACCCAGGAGGGCCGAGACTAGTGCGTGTGAGACCCTCATCCTATGTGGTTGATCACCCGCTCACTGAAGGGTAGGCCGATGGATGAGAAGCGGAGAGAGAGCCGCGTTTTGTCGCGCGAACATGTCGTCCATATAAGAAGATGGTGGCGTTGAACCCCAGAAACTGGTCACGGGCGGCCCGCGATCGCGTCTCCGCTTTCTCATGCTATTCATGGGGGGTTTGTTGCTTCGTGAGAGAAAATGACACGAGATTGGAGATGAAGAACGGCAAATACGAGATTCTTTCGTGATGTCAACCGCAGATCCCCGGCCGTACAGGGGTTCCGCTCCACAACAGGTAACATTCAACCCAATAGCGAGATCTCTTCACTGCGCCGTGAATTCTGAAGAAAACACATCGTTATGACCGGATTGTATGGAAGTAGGCGCTTGAGTTGGACCTCACAGTCGATGTGTGTCGAGTTGTTCAATGCGATGTCAGTGGCAACGAAACAGTTTGGTCTCGAGTCCTCCGGAATTACAGTGAGCTTTCGGTGTGGGCCCTGAAGGAAATTGCGATGGAGGTTTCCGGCGGAAACCAAGGTCGTTTACCCATGCTACCCGTATCCATGCTGCTTAAATAGAGTAGTATCCGCCCTTGAGCGTCTGCCGAGAACACGCTACACCCACCGAGGCAGGAGGAGCGTTCACGTTGAGGGCCAATTCTTTCTCGCTTCCGTTGCGGACTGGAAATTCCATAAACCGCAGGTATTAAAGAACTAGATGATCTGAGTCCAGATGTGATTTATACTTCTGGATAAAAGGACACGAAGCTTCCAAGTCAACCAAAAGGATGGGTCATGTTGTTTTTGGTGTCTAATTATGTCTTAATTTGTCAGAACATATCGGTACCTGGGTTTACCGTCAACCATATCCAAAACTGCCTGGTTGGCCTCCTTCATTGGGCGTGTCTCAACCCAGACCTTGACTCCTTTGGCGGCCACAAGGTCAAACATTTCTCTGATTTCCCCAGGACTGCCAATAACTGATCCAGTCAAGTGCACTCGGGTTCGAATCAGGGCAAATGCGCTCAGTGGAACCGGCTCCTCGGGGGCACCAACTTGAACGAATGTCCCACCACGTGACAGAAGGCCAAGGTACTGGGCCAGAGGCATCTATCATTGCATGAGCTTCAGTCCAATCACCACGATTTTCACGGAGAGCGTGACATTCACGTACCTTGGGAGACGCGACCGTAGAAATGATCACGTCGAGGGTGCGGGCATTCTTCGTGGCCCAGTCCTCGTCCTCAGCCGTGGCGATGAAATCGGTTGCACCAAGCTGCGTAGCATCCTGCTTCTTATCAGACTTTCTCGAAATAGCCACCACCTTGTCTGCGCCTAGAGCTTTCGCGAACAGGACTGCACAATGACCGAGGCCTCCAACGCCAATGACACCGACTCTCTTGCCGGGCCCCACGTTGTAGCGCTTCAAAGGTGAGAAGACAGTGACACCGCCACAGAGCATGGGAGCAGCTTGCTCAGGTGCGATTCCCTTGGGGATCTTGATGACGAAATAACTCGGGCAGCGATGGTACAACGCATATCCGCCCTGTGTCTGACTGCCGTTGCGATGGAGGCTGTTGTAGGTGTTGACGCGCTTGGTGCAGTAGTTCTCCTCGCCGACTTCGCACGCATCGCAGGGCCCATCGCGCGAAAGACACGAGTCGGTTTGCGCGCCTACGCCGACGATGTCGCCAACTTTGATGCCGCCTTCTGCCTGAGATCCGACACGCACGGCTACACCCACAATCTCATGGCCGACGACGGCAGGAAATCTGGTGGCACCCTAAAAATCACCGTAAGCACGCTAGCCAATTGAGACTCGGAGAACATGCAGAGTGGCAGACGCTGCATGAGTGTGCGACATACCCAGCCAGCTCGCAGAGTGTGAATATCGGAGCCGCAAATGCCCGAGTGAGTGATCTTGATATCAACGTCCGTCTCCTCCCAGACTTTCGGCTCATACTCTCGCCAGACCATCTTGCCGTCCACCGAAGAGGGGTCGTCCGCCACCCAACCCTCGAATTTGTAGTCGGTGGCCATCTTGAAAATAAAGTATGAGGAAGCTCTGCAACGTTGATCGTGGAGGAACGCAGTGAGCACTTCAACGTCACTAAAGATCCTTTATATTTCAATCAAAAGTTTTGCAAAGAAATGCCGGGCAAGATGTGTTTGTCAGTGTATAGATTAGCGTCAACGCTATCCGAGTTACCGAGGTGTTTCGGGCGGAGAACATGACGAAATACAAAAGCTTCCCAACTACCGGAGTAGAAACGGAGTTAGGGGGAGCCCAGTAGTGGCACTGATAGTGTGCAGGATGCCAAATCAATATTCTTTATCTGACGATTAGCTTGTGTCGGCCACAATTCTGTAAAGGTCTGATCCACCTTACTCCCACCTCGCTCACACCATCACACGTAGTCCATCCGTCAGCAGACTGTAGATGGGGGCGCGTCTCCCGATAAGATGGAAACGCGGCAGAGGGGTCACGGGAGGCGGGGTCATCGGCGTGAACTCGGACTGGAGTAATTACCCCACTACATCCAAAGAGGCTACAATTCCCCGAGATTATCTTGGATCAGTCTTTGTCTCCGAGCATCGCTTGGAAAGCCAGATATCTCTTTGAACATCTGCCATATGGCGCACAGTCAATCTGCGGTCTTCCAATTTCATAAAATTTCCTCCTGTGACATGACAGTTTCTTATGTAAAGGGCTGCCAGCATCGATGCTTCGTTGTTTCCGCTCAAGGAACTATGCTGACCTTGAGACCGCCTAACGATTTAGCTGTGCGAAAGGCTGTCATGATGGAATCTCATCGTCAGATCATTGGTCTCGAGATAAATGTTGAATAAGATAAAAGTTACTGTGGATATGTATGGGGGCAACAATGCTTAATAGGCGGGCTGTATTCAGCTCTACTCCCCTTTCTCACATTGGAGATCTTCCAGTCGAGGCTTCGTTTTCAGGAACAGTCTCATCACTTCAGCCATCTCCCACCTCCGCGTCCATCTTCCCAAGGCTTTTGCAGAATGGGAAAACACAGGTGTTCTTCTCTGTTCAACAGCCACTAACGGTTAAGTGCTTGCAAAATGCTTCATGTTCACTATTAGACGCAAGCGAATGATGTCGACGATGCTGGGTCCCCACCAATGTAGTGCTGAACTTTGGGGTACATGCAGATATCTCTCGTCATGTGCTTGCCATAAGCGTTGAGCCCCTCAACCCGCAATGTGATCGGTGCGATTCCCTTCTCAACCCAGTCAATCAGCGCGGACAACGTGTTCCGCGGAGCGAGGCCATTCGAAATACTATGATCAGCGCCCGGAGCGAGAAACATGCGAAAGTAGTCGTGGGCTTTGGGGTCTTTCTTGAGGACTCTGTTTGTGTAATCGACCGTACCGTTGACTGGAATAATCTGGTCGGCCATCCCATGCCAGCTGAGCAGTTTGCCTCCAGCCTTGCGGAACCTGCTCAAATCGGGATCGGAAGTGCCGGTGATTGATTCGTACTCGTTTCGTGACGCGACGAAAAGATCGTCCCACTGACTGTGGCCAAGGGCTTGAAGATCGAGGTTGGCTTTTTTGGCAACAAAGTATCGCGCGTATGACTCGGCGATGGACAACCTGACCGGCGCGCATTTCTCTCCTTCGCCCTCACATGATGTATGGAGAGCACCAAATTGCCACATTTTTGCATCTCTCCCGTATCCATACCATTGAGACTCGCCGCTAACGCTTCGTGGTCCATTCCAAGCAGCATTTGCCGCCTCTGCTGCTTCGAGAGTGAACAACGCGTCTTTCCCTCCACAGTTGAAAGGTTGGCCGACGAGGGTATTGGCATTGAAGAAGCACCGAGAGGGCATAGAGACAATTCCATCCTCGACTCCATCAAGCCCGTCGCATGCTTTCATGGCCGCAGCCGTGATGGCTTCGAACTCGCAAGGTCGCGGGTAGACGCCCTTTTTATCCATGACTCTATGAGCCCACAAAGGAGACCATTGGAACATATCCCAGTTGATGGCAGGACAGAATCCTAAAATCCCATCGAAGTCATCTGGATAGCGCTGGGCTAGCATGTAAGCCTGTCTTCCGCCAGTTGATCCGCCGTAAAAGTACGTGTACTTTGGGGGGGTGCCGTAGAAAGCCTCCGTCAAAGCTTTCCCAATTGTGGCCATGTCGTGTAAGGCGACGTGGGAGAAGTCGATAAAAAGAGGCCAGTTGATGTTTCCGGAACTGGTGAATACCCAAGACATATCATCTCCTGATGCCTCGTCAAGTTTACTCGAGTGGCCACCATCAGTCGTGCTGACGGCGAATCCTGCCTCTAAAGAAGGCATCATCGTGATCCCGCCCACTTCGATCCCCCCCGTAACCCATCCGCCGCCTCCATTTCCCTGGAATCTTCCGTTCCAATTTTCCATCGGAAGAAAGGTCGTAACTTCGATTTCATCGTTCCACCCGGGATGAGTATAGATCACTGTGACGTTGCAGAAGTTTAGGCCATGAATCGCGCGGCCGAACCGGAATCTAGGGTGAAAATTGTATGAGAAGTTCCGTTGTTCAGCCGCAGTAAGTGAAATGATACGAATGCCATCGAGCGCAGGATGTTGTATACTGCCAGCTTCGCATGCGTTATTTGCGCCAAGAGCAACCTGCGTGAGGCTGGGGTCTGCCCATTGAGCGAGTGCGGTTGGAACTAGGAAGCCGCAGATCCAGCCGCGAATAGAGATCATATCGAACACCATATCACGGGGCGAATGAAGATGCTTTTGATATAGCTGAGCGACAGTTTAGCGTGTACTACTGCTAGATGAGGACGTTGAGGCGATTAAAATTTCTGAGTAGGTGCTCTCATCAGGAGCCTCAGTAAAGAAAGGCCTTGCCGCGTCAATCGACAGAGAATCATTTCATCCTGTACTTCTGAACTTAGTAATTATTTACGCGAACACACCAATGACAAAGAGAAAACAAATGAAAGAATTATACCTTGTGGCTAGACTGCATGATGTGGCCATTGTGTGGTTGATTCGGTTTCGCGAATGTCGTGGGGAGAAAAGGTCGCCCTCCATCAGTTGCCACGTGTATCGACCGACACATCACTCTTTCCGGTATTTGCCCTTGCTTCCTCCTTTCTGCATTGTATGTAGAACTGGGAACTTTGAGGTGAGATGCAGGGATGGGATAGTTTTAGGTTTCCCCCGCTTAACATTGTCAGGGGATGTGAGGAACAACGCGAGTGCCCATCAGAGGAATATGGCGCTCAAGCCTCAAGACGCACCGGCATCGGGTTCTTCGAGGGGTCCGAAGCTTAGATTAAGGAAGGAGATGGGCGAGGTCTCCTACGTCCCTGGTATTTGAGCATCAAAGTATAGAAAATGCCATGGTCTCGATATTAGGCTTGGCTGCAGCGAACATCAACTCGTTGGTCCGAAGCATAGCACTTTCAAAATGCATCTTATGTATCACCTTCAGAGAATCCAACCACCGTAATGGCGTAATAAAATATCTCTTGCACTTGGTGTGGGCTGTTTTCAGTCAAATCAGCTGTCTACAATGGGTCTTCACTCTCGTCGGTCTGCCGTAACGATATCTTGATTCTATTTGTGGCGCATCCTACCCCAAATTGAGCAACGACTCAATTAGATCAGGTGCCACATCATTTCCCAGCCTTTCCGCGAAATTCTGCTTCAATCTCCATGTGAATGTTTCTCTGCAGGATTCAAGTGTCGTGGCTCTGGTCATTGTTCTGAGAGGATCGAGTTCACCAACAGGTGCCGACAGGCAAAGGTGACTGTAACTGCTCCAAAGGGATGGGTCCCGGAATTTCCCCTTTCGGCTGCAACCGAGTGGGACAGGCCGAATACGGCCCCCCGACGAACATCGGCCCCACCCCGGGATATCCGTCAATGTCAAAGCATGCCAAAGGCTTCCGTCTTCATCACGACGCCACTCAGATGAGATGAGATGATCAGTGTAATTGTAGAACAACACTTGGCTGCTCCTGTCTCTCTATTATTACACCTGATCAAGTCTGGAATTACCGCCCTACCTCATCTTCAGCGAAGTCAAGATGTGCGGCATCTCGGCTTGTGTCACTCTTCCTCCAGGCTACCACTTTCATACTGAAGCCCTCAATGGATACGCAAGCGGACTTGGTAACCTTATCAACAACGACGGGAATGATGAGACAAGAGATTCACAGGATCTCAAAGATCAACTGAGAAGGAGCCTCGATGCCATAAGCCATCGTGGCCCGGACGCACAGGGGGTGTGGGCAAGTGAGGATGGCTTCGTGGGTCAGTACTGTCGCTCATACTGAACCCTCCTCTATGAACTAAGCATCATCCACCGCAGGCATGGGTCACTGCCGCTTGGCTATCAACGACCTGACTCCTGACGGCAATCAACCTATCCATAGTGATGATAATGCCATTCACGCAGTGGTCAATGGCGAGATCTATGATCATGATCGCATCCGAGAAGAGTGTAGAGAAAAGGGGTACGTGTTCAAGGGACGCAGCGACAGTGAAGTCATTCTTGCATTGTACAAGGCTTTTGGCGCACCTCGGTTTCTGGATCATCTCCGAGGAGAATTCGCTTTCGTCCTTTATGACGAGACAGCGGGAAAGGTTATCTTGGCGAGAGATCGATTTGGTATCAAGCCACTGCTGTGGACATTCGTCCGGCAGACCGATGGGGTTACCATACCCATGGTCGCTCCAGAAGCAAAAGCTTTCCTACCTTTGGGGGGGAAGCCGCAGTGGGATGTCGGCGCGATTGTGGACGGCGGATGGATGCAAGACGGGAGGTCATTATTCAAGGGAGTCAAGAAAGTTCTCCCGGGGCACTGGATGGAGATAACAAAGGACGGCATGATGCAAATACATCAGTACTGGGATGCTGATTATAAAGACAAAGTGATTGGGCCCCCGATCGCTTGGGGGGTATTCAGCTAACAGCTTGTTAGACCGAGGGAGAGACCAGGAGCGTCGATGAGATGATTCAGGGTCTGCGGGACAAATTAACAGAATCAATTCGTCTTCGCCTAAGAGCGGATGTCCCGATTGGCATTTACCTCTCAGGTGGTATCGACTCGTCTCTGGTTGCCGGAATAGTAACCCACTTGGTACGAGATGAGGGCATCAAGATTGGCAATAAAGACGCGACGAGCCGCATCAGCTGTTTCACGATTCAGTTCCCCAGGGAATCTGGATTCGATGAAAGTGGTAAGAGAGTTCCCAATGCTCAAGAAAATGTCAAGTCTCTCATAATACTGTTCTAGATATTGCCGAGCGAACAGCAGAACATCTTGGCATCCAGATCTCAAAGAAGCAGATTGACGAGAATGAGTTGGCCAATAACTTTGCTGACTGCGCTTATCACTGCGAGCATCACCACTTCGATCTCAACTGCGTTGGCAAGTTTGCGCTCTCGACTTTACCGAATGCAAATGGTGTCAAAGTTGTGTTAACCGGAGAGGGTGCCGACGAACATTTTGCCGGCTACGCATTCTTCCCTCCAGATCTACTTCGTGAACCCGACCTTTCCATGCCGGACTCGCCGTTAGTAGCCGACTCGCAGCTCAGAGAACATATGCAAAGATCCACTGAGCGGGATATCAAGATGCTCATCCCCCGTGCCGGCGCTTTTGAGCACGGTTGGGAGGCAACGCCGGGCATTCAAATGGTCAATAACACCATTCTTCCCCCATGTATCGTGGCATGGCACCCCAACCTTGACTTGTTCGCGCCATGGGTACGGGAGGACAAGCGATGGGCCAACCTCGACTGCAAGGAAGTCATAGTGAAGTCCTTCAAGCCGTCGATACTGCAAAAGATGCAGAGAAAGTGGCATCCACTCCACACAGCCCAGTACATATACAGCAAGGGCCCTCTACCGAATATTCTACTAAGTTGTCTCGGTGACTTGACAGAGATGTCTCATAGTGTGGAGGCTAGAACACCATTCCTCGACCACAAGCTAACAGAATACGTCAACAACTTACCTCCCAGTCTTAAGATGGCCTACACACCCGACAAGATACCCCCTGAGCGACATCAAGGTCCTTGGTGGGAAGGCATTGGCGTCGCGTCACAAGCCTTGACCGAGAAGTGGATCCTTCGAGAGGCAGCTAAACCATTCATTCTCAAAGAGTTGTATGAGCGGCAGAAGCACCCATTCACAGCCCCTATCAAGTGGTCTAGGAGTGGACCGCTTCACGACATGCTTCAGAATACTCTGACCAGAGAAAGAGTAGAGAATCTTGGATTCGTTGATTATAAGATCGTAGAGGATGCGCTTGATCGTGGCTCTGGTGAGAAGGCAGATGTCAAAGCCTTCAGGATACTGCTTTTTGTGGCTGCTTGGGTGACGCTAGGTGAGCGTTTGGGAATCCCAAAAGCTTCCCTGCACGATTAGTATTAGGACTGGGCTAGGCTGAGATGACATATCGGGACATGTCGGTCAATATAAGAAGAATCGAGAGTAGTGTGAAGATGTGTCATTTGAACCGCCGAGCGGCTCTTGTAGTGATGAAACACATCCCAGCTGAGAATTGATTCCTTCCCGATTCAAAATGATTTGGTAAATATGCCTAGGCCAAGTTTGGATACCTTTCTGACTCGGATGAGAATAGTTTTTGTCCATAGAATGTTCCGGCAATGATCGAAACATGAATCAAGACCTCTAGGTCTTGAATTACTTCATCTCCAGCTTCTGTGCGGCTCCTGGAACAGGTCCCAACCAGCTCAAGCGCTTAGACACGAAAATTTCAGCCATCGGTGTGACCAATTTCTGGTCGTTGAAGTCATCCAGTGTTCCCGCCTTCAGATACATCAATCCATCAGAAGCTGGTCCGTCTCTCCAGAGAGTGACACCGCAGTTGTTGCAGAAATGGCTGGTGACAGTGTTGCCACTGTTGGCCGTCGTGCTGAATGTCTTGGGAATTCCGGTGATTTCGACATCTTTGAGGGCGACAACCCAGTTGAAGCCAAAGGCACCACCAGAGATCTTCCGACAGTCGCTGCAATGGCACAAAGCCTGTCGAAATTGTCAGAATTTTGGAATTGAATTATGGATATGAGATAGATGGAGACTTACGGCAGCCATTGGACGACCTGGAATTTCGATCTTCAGGGCCTGGCAGAGGCAACTTGAGATGGCCATTGTACTGAGCAGGGTATTTTTTTGAGTCAATCAAGAACACAAGAAGTATTGGAGCGGAGGGTAATTTATCGATGAGAGTATGGCATCAGACTGATGCTACAATGTTGCTGAATTATTATATTGATGCATGTGGTCAACCTTACCCTCCCTCTTATAGTCGAACTCACCAACCTCTCGCTTCTCAGCTTCTTGACCAAGATGCTGAACTGGGCAGGATGCCGCTAGTCTATTTCAGGCTTTGCATCCGATCGCGTTCTGTGATTGGCTTGATTAAGTTTGACTGCGAGACTGGGTTGTGGCACAGAGATGGACCAAACTACATCGTTCTTCATTGTGGGGGAGAGCTAGCGTGGAGATATGTGCCGGTGGGAGGACCTAGTTCAATTGATATGGTATTAGCAGTTGTCGATGTTAGCTATAGCCCATTCAAGTTAGGTACTCAGTCCGGAATTTGCGGGATTTCGGGTTCAAGGCAAAATCCGCAAATAAGGCACTGCGCAACTCATTGATTCTCGGTGAGATTTTGTCTGAAGATGATATCTTTCTTGTCGAGCAATAAACGTCGACGACAGTAGTCTGGCGTGGCGCCGAGTACATGTTTCAACCTCACATGCTAGCAATAATTGTCATCAGTCCAAATCCCGTCAATTTTCCGACATGGCAAAGTTTGCTCTTGACCCAACCCCTCGTTTCTTCTCCTGCCAAGCACGAGTTCATGATTGCCGCCATGGGCCAAAGCATGCACCACGCCCTAAACGGCCATCCTTGATACTGCTCGACTCCAGGATGACCATCTACGAAAATGGCAGAGATTTTCTCACATATCTGCCTCACGTTTTCGCTTCCATGCTCTGTGAGACTACGAAGCTCGTCCCCGACTTCTGAATGTTCCTCGGCCGTGATGATCATACTGAGCATCAGCTCTGTGAGTTGCAATTTCACTGTCAAATAGAGACAGGATGCTATGATGATGTTTGGATGCGAAGTTGTATTAATGAGATCATTGAAAGCCGTTTTCTTTGATGCAAGATTGCTTGTCGAGTCAAGCGATGAAGCTGCGTCCGCAAGGTCCTCAATAATTTCGAGCCCCGGTCCAAGGAGTTCATCAACAGTCGGACCCGAACTGCTACTCGGGTGGGATATTAGTCTTTCGGCTGATGCTTTGAATTCCACAGCCCGACTCATTACGGGTTCGAGAATTGGTCCATTAGCCCAGGATGTTCCGAATTTAGACAGCGTGATCCAAAGTGGCGCAAAGCCTGGGGGGCTCATAAAGTATTCCATCAACTACCTCTCGGGACATGGGTCGTCAGTGATGAGTTGTCCATGCTTCTGAAGATAGACGAATTTCCCTTACCGCGACATGACTGAAGAATTTCAACACTACTCTGTCCAAGTCACTCTCTAGTTTCAAGGATGATCTATGTTGTAGAAGAGCCAGGGCGCCTCGAGAATGTGGGTGGCAAGTGGCCTCGGTATCCACGAGTCTGCTCTGTGGCTGCGCACCGATAGCCTAATTACGTAGATGTCAGATATGATCTCGTTGAGTCATAGACGAGAAAGGGACACGGCTTACCTCGAAGAGACCTAGGATGAACAATGCGGCCATCACAGAGTCATCTTGTCCCACAGTGGGGTTCTTCAAGGCATCGTTGAGGCCCATAATTGCCCTTCCATAGTGGCTTCTGGCTTGCACCATGAGTCCGCATTGGGTCAACTGCCGTGAGGAACTGGCAAGTGCTGTGGCTTTCAAAGCGTCGAGGAAGCAATCGGCAGGGGTTGCGGAAGATATGGCCGGCAACATGCTGAAAAAGGCAATGCCGGAGTCTTCGGAATAGTCGCGATAGAAGTGGTTCAGGATCATTGTCCCTTGATCGGGTTGTACTTGACGGGGAATTGTTGGTTCCGTAGCCCGCTGCTGCCTTTCCTTCAACTTCTTCGTGACTCTGATATGAACCAGCTGGGCAACATGGAAGTTTTCTTCTCGGTGGAAAGTCTGCCATGTGTCCCGGTATCCCTTACAAGTTCGCTTGCTTAATCTGCATTTCTTGCAAGTTGGTTTCTCTTCATCGCACTGAATGCACAAGTCACATGAGTCACTTGTTTCTATGTGGCAAAGGATGCCAAAATCATACTGAATCATTGCATCCCCACGTACCTTGACTTTTCTCTCCTTGCAAGTAAAGCACCCACCCGAAGGTCTTCCTATATTCCCCATGCTAAGTAAGCTAGGTAGTTAGCGTTTGGAAATGGTATGCCAAGTCTGGTTAGTCGATCAGATTATCTTGCGACAATAATTGTTTGTATTCGATCAGGAGCTCGCAGCATGTGAGGTCAGCATCAAAAGGAATCAACTGGTTCTATTGAAGATGTGTAGAATGGCTTGTGTTAATCAGAGGCTAAACCATTTGCGGCCCGCCATCCGATGCGAACAGATGTGGACCTTAAACCTAAAGTCTAAGTCTAATTCGGCAAATTTACCCAGCTTGACGCACTAAACAAAACCATCCCACCGGCACATTGACCAATTCTGGACCTGCGTTTTACTCCAAACTAGTACGGCCATGCGGAAAGGTTATAATGATTATTCCGACAACATGCACTTATGGTTGAGTGGTTCATCAGGGACTCAGTCGTACATACTAGGTATATGGGCTTGTCAAAATGGCTCCGACCCCCCCTCCCCCCCGCGGGTCAGCCTTGAGCTGGCATAGGTCTCAGCGCCAACATCGTAGGGCAAAACCTAGCTCCCTGCACAGACAGACAAGCAAACTTTGTTGAGCTTGTGAAAGTCAAAGCAACTACTTGTGACCTGAGCATGGTTTTCCAACAGCAGATTTATTAACGCTGGATTATTTCCCTCGACGGGTGCATGGACACCCGCAGGCTAACACTCGAGATACCGCCTTCGTCGAGGTCCCGAAGGAGTAAACAAACCCCTCGAAAACACCTTGGCTTATTCACGAGAACTCATAATAGACGTGATCCCACTTTCCACCATTGTCCACCTTGATCTGAATGAGCTGCTTGTTGATAGAAAAGTCCGCAATCGAACCTCTGATTGCCGAAGAGAAGATAGTTGTTCCGAGCCTCTCCCAGCACCATTTGCGGTTCGCGTTCGTCTCCTTGCTGGAAATCTCGAAGGATGCAGTAGGTCTCAGGCCAATCTTGATACGGCACTCGCCCAGGGCTTTGTTCATGTCGTCGTTCTCAATCTGGTAGCCCAAGACCTCCTTCAGCTCTGAGGGCTGAAGGCCAGTCATCTTCCAGCATTCCTTGAGAACCTGTCGCATCTTGAGGCGGGGCGTGGTGGTGTCGAATCCGTTCATGGCCTTAATGACAGTCAAGCGCTTGGACACCTTGTTAACGAGCAAGGTATCAACAGGCGAGGTGTTGCCCTCCTCATCCCGAGCAGTGTAGCCGTCCGCGTAAACAGAGAAAGCCCATCGGTTGCCAGTCTCATCAGCTTCGGCGTCAACGGCGTAAGCACGGTTTCCCTGCATGGGAATTAGTCAATTGGTTCTGAAGCAAAGGCTTGCCGAAACACTTACAGCGAATGGTCGGACAGGTTGGCCAGAGATCTATCGCGCAGGATTACTTTAGTAAGATGATGGCCCGGTTGAGAGTGGAGATCTTTTGTCCTGGGGCAACATACTAGGGTCACAATGGAGCCGAGTGCCAGAAGAATGGCAGGGAAATTACTTGAAAGCATTTTGATAAGCGAGTGTAATACAAATTAAGCCAATGAGTGTTGGCTGCGCGATGGCAGGCTGTATGGAGAGTCGAATTGAAGAGCTGGTTTCTTGATATCTACCACTTGGAGATACTTGTTCAATGAAAGGGTATATATCCTCATTCTCTGAACTTGATCGCCACAAAGAGTTGTCGGGCACACCGAAACCTTAATCAGTCCTGTTTCTTGAGGAATAGGAGAATATAGTGGGGCAGGTCTTGTCACAGAAAATTGAAGAGCTTGAGTTGTTTATGCATATAGACTAATGGTGGGTTGTCAACTCGGAACTCCCTTGCTGAGTCGCTTGATGTGAGCTATCACTTCGACTTCAATATTCCGATCCCTTTCCACAGTCTCTTGCAGTCAGTTGCCAGTTGCATTTGGTTGCAAGAGAAAGAGCGCTTTGGGTCGTCGTGGATCTCAGCAAGTGGGACATTGAATGCACTGAGTCAGGCCAGTTCACTATATTTGGCACGATGTTGTAGATCCTTGGCATGGAAGAGACGGGACGAACATGTCCCAACTGCGTTGTGAACCGTAAATTCTATTTATATGAACTATCATGTTTAATTAACTGGCCCAGTTGCAGGCTCAACGAGTCAACTGTTGTCAAGCAGTGTTCGGTTTCTCCGATGTCAAATCGCTCTCTTGTTTGCAAAGATCAAGGAACCGACAACTCCGTCGCTGGGGGTGGTTGAGTAGGCTATATGATCTAGCTTTCTCCCCCCAGGCTAGACTTGAAAGAACCAACATCATACAGCTCTAGTCTTTCGTTAATATCATAGCCACTAATTATGCGCCACTCGTTTTTCTCGTCTTTGCTTGGACTAGCCACGCTGACGGCTGGCGCAGTCCTGTCGCCACGGGAGAAGGACGTTTCCTTGAATAATCAGTGGAAGAACCATGACTAAATTGCGGCTTTTCAGCAGCAAACGGCCGATGGCACCCCAGGCGACATCGAACTTCGTTTCAAGCCTTGGCTGAACGACGGTAGCGGATGCTTCCCGTATGCAGCTGTGGATAAAGATGGCTTCCACGGGTACGTGTCCTCTCGACTTGTCTTCCGTTGGCTTCGTTCTCATCGATCCTCTCTCCAGGCGCGGCCTCAAACCTACGGGCAAGAGTGGAGGTGATTGTCGGGACTCTGCCAAGGGTCAAATCTACTCCCGAGTTGGAACCTCGAATGGGCGTCCGGCCGTTCTCTACTCGTGGTATCTTCCCAAGATCCAGACCAAGACCGAGAACCACAGGCATTGGTACCTCACTA